GCGTGAGCCACCACGCCCGGCCAGCTATTCCTAATTTCTAACCCTCAGAAACTGAGTTATCTAACAAATGTTTATTATGTTAAGCTGCTAAATTTTGGGATAGTTCATTACTCAGCATTAAATAGTACAATAATCGTAGCTAAGATTTACTGAACATGTACATGTGGCAAGCTTCACATATATTAACACATTTAAATGGCATAACAATCATATGAGATAGTTACTATTACCAGCTCCGTTTTGTAGTTCAGGAAACTAAAGTATTCAAAGTTATATGTAGTGGACACTATGAGTCCCCTTTCCTAGCTGTAAATGTTGGCTACTAAAGACTTAGAGCTTCCGCCCTTTCCAGAGAATTGCTCCTGGCTGAATAGAAGTGGCCTCACCTAGGAAGTTACACACTGTCTTCCCCTCCCACTTATGGCAGCCCTTAGCCACTGACTAGTTGATGCAGGGTAGGACCACTGCAAAATAGGACCAACTATATGATGCCATTGCCCCTCGAAAATTTTTTGCTCTGGAGTCAAGCAAAAGCTAGACTCTAGTTGGGATTACATTCTTGCTTAGATCCATTTGCTACCTCTATCCTGCTTTCTTCACCCCTTTTCTCCCAAAAGCACTTCCACAATAAATCAGGCGCACTGGAATCCTGTCTCAGGCTCTGTTTCAAGGAACTCAACCTAAGTTAGACATAGTGATGTGCCCAAAGTCATTGCTATGGTTTAAATGTTTGTCCCTCCCAAACTCATGTTGATATTTAATTGCCATTGTGATGGCATTCAGAGGTTGAGACCTCTAAGAGGTGATTAGGCCATGAGGGCTCTGCCCTCGTGAATAAATTAATGCCACTATCAAAGGAATGTTCTTATAAAAGTTTCAGTTTGCCCCCTTTTTTTCTCTCTTATCCTCTTACCTTCTTCCATGGGATGGTACAGCAAGAGGGTCCTCATAAGATGCTGGCACCTTGACAGGGTGCAGTGGCTTATGCCTGTAATCTCAGCACTTTGGGAGGCCAAGGCAGGCGGATCACAAGGTGAAGAGGTCGAGACCATCCTGGCCAACAGTGTGAAACCCCGTCTCTACTAAAAATACAAAAATTAGCTGGGTGTGGTGGTGCACAACAGCAGTCCCAGCTACTCAGGAGGCTGAGGCAGGAGAATCACTTGAACCCAGGAGGCAGAGGTTGCAGTGGGCCAAGATTATACCATTGCACTCCAGCCTGGTAACACAGCAAGACTCCGTTTCAAAAAACAAAAAAGAAAAGAAAAGAAAATGTTGGCATCTTGATCTTGGACTTCCCAGCCTCTAGAAATAAATTTCCATTTTTTGTAAATTAGTCCATCTCAAGTATTCTGTTCTAGCACCAAAATAGACTAAGACAATCATAGAGCCTGGATTTGCACCCAGACAGTCTGACTTCAGAGTTCTTGCCCTTAAAAATGTCTCTGGCAGAGTAACAAATAGCAGAAGAGTGCAGTGGTGCAATCATAATTGACTGCAGCCTTGAACTCCTGGGCTCAAGCCATCCTCCTGCCCCAGCCTCCCCAATAGCTGGGACTGTAGGCATGCATCACCACACCTGGCTAATTTTTTATTTCTCTGTGGGAGATGGGGTCTTGTCACATTGCCCAAGCTGGTCTTGAACTCCTGGGAGTTCCTCTAGGGATCCTCCCGCCTTGGCCTCCCAAAGTGCTGGGATTACAGGCATGAGCCATGGTTCCTGGCCACTACTAAATTCTTGACTCCTATTTTGGCATGAGACAAGCGGTATGTGGTTCAGTCTGGCTTTTAGGAACTGCTAGTTTTGCCACCCCCCACCACACACACACACAGCATAGATAGTACCACGTGAAATTACCTCTATCCTGCCTCTATCCTCCTGCCCCCCATCCTCATCCCTTACATCCCACCCAAATTAATCTGGTCCAGATCCTTATTCTTGCCATGAATTTTAGCCTCCTCTCTTAGGAAGGATTTAAATTTTCTTTTCTATAGTGGGTGAAATTGAGTCCTAGCCCCCAGTACCTGTGAACGTGATCTTATCTGAAAGTAGAGTCTTTGCAGATGTGATTAAGGTAAGGATCTGAGACGAGATTATCCTGGATTTAGGGTGGTTCTAAATCCAATGACTAGTGTCCTGATGAAAGAAAGGAGACATTGGAGACAAAGAGACACAGGGGGGAAACCACGTGAAGACAGGATGTAGAGATGGGAGGGACACATCTACAAGCCAGGACACTCCAGGATTGGATTGCAGAGCCACGGAAGCCAGGAGAGAGGCAGGGAACAGATTTTCCCTTGGAGCCTCCAGAAAGAACCAAACCTGCCGACACCTTGATTCCAAACTTCTGGCCTCCAGAGCTATGAGATCATACATTTTTGTTGTGTCAAGTCTTCCAGTATGTGGTCATTTGTTACGGCGGTCGCAGGATACACCTCCCTTCTGAGGGTTCTGTTCATCTCAGCCCTAAACCCAGCAGCAGTCTCTGGAGTGAGGAGGGGGAATTCCAAAAGCTGTATGGTTTACAAAGCCACAACCTGGTGGTTATCGTTCATTTTTTTGTTTGGTTTCATTTTATTTTTTACAATTAAGGAAATGGGTGATTTTTCCACCAAAGTCACCTATACCAGCAGTCCCCAACTTTTTTCACAGCAGGGACCAGTTTTGTGGAAGACAATTTATTCACAGACAAGGGGCAGGGGGAAAAGGTTTGGGGATGAAACTGTTTCACCTAAGATCAGCAGGCTTTAATTAGATTCTCATAAGGAACACACAAGCTAGATCCCTCCCATGTACAGTTCACAGTAGGGTTCGCGCTCCTATGAGAATCTAATGCTGTCACTGATCGGACAGGAGGCGGAGCTCAGGTGGTCATGCTCACTGGCCCTCTACTCACCTCCTGCTGTACAGCCTGGTTCCTAACAAGCCATGAACTGGTACTGGTCCCTCAGGGGCTGGGGACCACTGCCCTATACAGATGGTGTGTAAAGCCCAGATTGTGGGTCTCTAGACTCCAAATCCTGAAGTTTTTAGTCCTCAGGAGAAGACTAGCAATGATTCAAGGACACTAATAAAGGCTTCCTGTTGCTGGGCGCGGTGGCTCACGCCTGTAATCCCAGCACTTTGGGAGGCTGAGGCAGGTGGATCACTTGAGGTCAAGAGTTCAAGACCAACCTGAACAACATGGAGAAACCCATCTCTACTAAAAATACAAAAATTGGCCAGGCGTGGTGGCGCATGCCTGTAATCCCAGCACTTTGGGAGGCTGAGGTGGGTGGATCGCCTGAGGTCAAAAGTTCGAGATCAACCTGACCAACATGGAGAAACCCCGTCTCTACTAAAAATACAAAAATTGGCCAGGCGTGGTGGCACATGCCTGTAATCCCAGCTACTCAAGAGGCTGAGGCGGGAAAATCACTTGAACCTGGAAGGCAGAGGTTGCGGTGAGCTGAGATTTTGCCATTGCACTCCAGCCTGGGCCTGGGCAACAAGAGTGAAACTGTCTAAAAAAAAAAAAAAAAAACAGAACTTACTGTTCATGGTCTATAACTCTTCAGGATGTGGGGTGCAGGGGGAGCAGGAAGGTGGGATCTAGCTTATCATCCTTCTGCCTTTGACAGCATATAATCTCTCCCATAAATTGCAGCAGCAATGTCTAACTTAAGCATTTAAGTGACCCCTTCAGATCCTTAATGATGCTATAAATGCAATCCTGGTGTGATTTATAAAGCTATTAAAATAAATGCTTCCACTAAAATAAACATTTCTACCTCTTAGCATATGTTTACTTGCATAACCTAAGCACAAACTTACCAGAATATGCAAAACCTGAACCAAAGATGATAAACGGAGGGCCTGGGGGCCACACACAAATGAACTGGATGTGTATGTGTCTTGACAGCATTATTCAGGGACAGCTGGTCTTTCAGACTTTTTTTTTTTTTTTTTACCCAGGCTGGAGTGCAATGGCGCCATCTCGGCTCACCACAACCTTCACCTCCTGGGTTCAGGCAATTCTCCTGCCTCAGCCTCCTGAGTAGCTGGGATTACAGGCATGTGACACCAGGCCCAGCTAATTTTTTGTATTTTTAGTAGAGACGGAGTTTCGCCACATTGACCAGGATGGTCTCGATCTCTTGACCTCATGATCCACCCGCCTCGGCCTCCCAAAGTGCTGAGATTACAGGCTTGAGCCACTGCGCCTGGCCTCAGACTTTTTTTTTCCTTAGCCTTGACTTGAAAGTCATGGTCTTTCAGTCTGGAAGCCTTGCCTTGCTTCTCAGTTTGGAGAAATGCGTCCCTCCATAGTCTGACACCAAGCTGATGCCTCTCTATCCATGAATTTCGCATTATGTGCAGAAAAGCACTTTTTAGAATGCTCTCCTCAACCTTTCTGCGTGGTTCAGCTCCCATGGAGAGCCCCACTTGAGTCTTTACCATTTTTCATGTCACAGAAATATTTGTAGGCCCTGGGCCATTGGAGGTTTTGGAGCAAGGGAGGGCATGATGAAATTCGCTAATTTGGAATCATGAGATTTTAGGTCTATATCCAAGGAGGCATGACCCCAGGGCCTGACTTTAATTCATCTTCAATCTCACAGCTCTTTGGTCTGTGCTGCACTGGTCATTACATAAGAAAGAACATTTGAGAAGAAATTGAATAGGTTTGAGATGATGCCCAGGAGTCATAGGATGCAATGGAAAAGCAACAGGAAAGAGTTTATGCCTGTTTGTCTGGTTCACTATGATATATCCTCAGTGCCTACCATGGGTACCTGGCACATACAACTTGTAGTAAATAAGTGTAGAAGGAAATGAGACAGATAGGGAGGCACTAGGGAATTCAGCTTGAAGTCCTGGTTCCACTACATACTAGCTGTGCGACTAAGGGAAAATTTCTTAATTTCTCTGAATCTCCATTTTCTCATTTTGAACTGAGGACAATAATATCTTTCGTGATCATGGTATCTCTCCTGCCAGGTAAGTATGTCTTTCTATTATACTTACTTGGCAGGGGAGATACCATGATCACGAAGGTAGTTTTCCCAGGGCAAGGCCTATCCGTTGTACTCTGGATGTGCTGACCCCTGCAATTTCCCCAAATGTGGGAAACTTGACTGCATAATTTGTGGTAGTGGGAGACTGCGTTCGCGATCTCCCCTGGTCTCTTAAGAAAAAAAAAAAAAAAGAAAAAATATATTTCTATTGTATGTCTTACACAATACAGCTCTAATAAAAATATCTAGAACGGTCTGCAAAGGATAGGTGCTCTATTCCATAACGTTCATTGAATGCATGAATGAATGAATAAATAAATAAATAAAGTCTGGCTGTTTCCCTGTGGATGAATGGCCCTGGAGCTTGGGGACATAGAATATGGTGCACGGGGACAAGCTGATCACTTCCCAAGGCATGTCAGTGGAGTGCTGCCTGTCTCCTTATTTATGTGCCAGGTTTTCATCATTTGCCATCCTCACTTAGGGGATTAATTTCCTGGGAAGTGCAGCCAGTAACACACAGCCAGCCAGACGACACAGATAACAGCAGCTAGGGTTGTAATTCCCATCGCATTGACAGTCCTTCAACCAACAGAGGAAGAATGGAGCAGCTGAAAGCTTCCATTCAAAGTCAGTAACAATAAGTTACAAGTGAGTGTGTATGTGAAGGGCAAGTGAGAGGGGGCAGGAGGAGGGTGAGCAGCCAGCCCCTGCTCTTTGTGCTAGTGCAGCAAGCGGGATCCAGCCAGGAAGTGTGCCCAAGGACCTGTTTAGATTTTAGGGAAATGATTAAAGTTTTCCAATTTTGAAAACAAAAGTTGCCGGACGCGGTGGCTCACACCTGTAATCCTAGCACTTTGGGAGGCCAAGGTGGGTGGATCACCTGAGGTCAGGAGTTCAAGACCAGCCTGGCCATCATGGTGAAACCCCATCTTAAAATAAATAAATAAATAAATAAGAAAGAAAACAAAGTTTAATAGCTTATATTTTGCTCTTTTATACACAATATCTTTGGAACCTTAAGACTGTATTAATTGGAATGAAAAATGTTTCAGGTGCGGTAGAAAACAGCATGGTGGTTTCTCAAAAAGTTAAACATAGAATTACTGTATAATCTAGTAATTACACTGCAAGGTATATACCCGAAATAATTAAAAACCAATACCCAACCCAGTACCTGACCAGGCATGTTTATCCACAATAGCCAAAAGGTGGAAACAGCTCAAATGTATATCCACAGAAGAGTGGTTTAGCAAATTGTGGCATATATATATATATATATATATAGTGGAATATTATTCAGCCATAAAAAGGAATGAAGTATTGATACATGCTATATTGTGGATAAACCTTAAAAACTTTATGCTAAGTGAAAGCAGCCAGACACAAAAGATTATGTGCTATATGATTTCATTTATATGAAATATCCAGAATAAACAAATTCATAGAGACAGAATGGAGATTGGTGCTTTGCTGGGGCTGTGGAGAGAATTTTCAATGATGGGCCAGGGATCTGTTTTTACACAGCAGGTGGTTGGTGGGGAGGGAGCTAGTCTAGTTCAGCCTGTGGCTTTCCTGCCACTCCTGAGTACCAGGCATCCTGCCTTCAGCTTGGTTGGCTTCCTGGAGTCTTCTCAGAACTGGGGACTCAGGCTCTCTGGCCCTCAGTTACCCATCTCCAATACTGTGCCTTCACCAGCCACCTCAGACCACCTCCTCCCCCTCCAGATAATCATCCCACCCCCAGTGACCCTCACCACCATGACCTACTAGGCTTGCACTTCTGCAAAGTCAAGGCTAGCCCACCCGGTGGCTTCTCTGAGGGCACCCTCAAGGGTCAGCATCTCGAGCCTAGATCTCTGGAACCTGATGAAATTCTCATCCTTATTCTGTTGCTACCCAATAGCTGAGAGACCAACTCAGAAAAGAATGATTGCCAGATTAGAATGTCAATCTGCTTAAAAATATCTAACCAGTTGTTGAGTCCCTATTGGATTAGGCATTTCTTTCTTTTTTCTTTTCTTTTCTTTCTTTTTTTTTTTTTTTTTTTTGAGATGGAGTGTTGCTCTGTCTCCCAGGCTGGAGTGCAGTGGCACGATCTCAGCTCACTGCAATCTCTGCCTCCCAGGTGCAAGTGGTTCTCCTGTCTCAGCCTCCTAAGTAGCTGGGATTACAGGTGCCTGCCATCACTTGCATTAGCTCCCTCAGGTGAGTCTTTTTAAACCCCATCTTACCAATGAGGAAGGAAATAGAAATTTAGAGAGGTTAAGGAATTTGCAGGCTAATGCACGGAAAAGCCAATCGGACTCTAAAATCCATACTCTTTCCTCTAACCCACATTGTCACATAGCCCAAGCCTCGTCACTCATGAAGAGAAGTAAGTGTTATCAGCAAGAGGAACCTGTGTATCTGCAGGTGGGACACCTCTTTCTGCTAGAAAGATTCCCAGGAACTAAATTATAATCTGAAGGTGAGTGCAGAATGAGTCTAGGGAGGCCGGGCATGGTGGCTCACTCCTGTTATCCCAACATTTTGGCAGGCTGAGGCAGGAGGATCGCTTGAGCCTAGGAGTTCGAGACCAGCCTGGGCAACATGGCAACCACCACCCACTCCACCTCCGCTGCTACAAAAAATGCAAAAATTAGCCAGCTATGGTGGTGTGCGCCTGTAGTCCTAGCTACTTGGGATGCTGAGGTGAGAGGATCACTTGAGCCTGGGAGGCAGAGGTTGCAGTGAGCAGTGATTATGCCATTACACTCTTGTCCAGCCTGGGTAACAGAGCAAGACCCTGTCTCAAAAACAAAACAAAGACAGTCTAGTAATCTAGACAGCAGAGCATCTCAAGGCATCCTCTACAAAGCTGTGGCCACACTAGCCTTGGCCCACAACATACTGTGCCATTGCACTTCAGCCTGGGCTACAAGAGTGACACTCAGTCTCAAAAAACAACAACAACAACAACAAAAAAGAGAATTCTATTCTCTAATGGCCTGAATACTGGCATCTACCCTCCCCTTACATAAGGGTGGGTATCCCTGGCAGATTTTCTGTTCTGTCTCCATTCCATCAGGGTACCAACCAGCACCATCCATGAGGAAACAGTCTTTGGAATCTATGAACCTAGGTTCAAATCCCAGCTCTTCTCTTTATTAGCTTCGTGCCTTCAGACTACAGACTCCAGACTTCAGACTTCAGACACAGCTCCCTGAGATGTATGTAAAACTCACATTCCAGAGTTCAGTCACCACTGGTTCCTCTCTTCCTCCTGCCAACGTAGCCTCTCCCCAGGCACGGATCCCACTTTTCTTTTGCCACATTCCAGTCCTGAGGGTAACCTCTGGTCATGTTTCTGGGACTTGGGTAATTCTTAATCCACTCCCTTCCAGCCCTCTTTCCCCTTTGCCCTCAATCCAAACAGGCATATGATCAGGTCCTGGCCCCAGGCATACGATAGATATAAAAAGGACATTGTATCTGAGGCTGAGAGCCCAGAGTTCCTTGGGGAGGATTTCTACCTCCCACGGCTCACTAATCTGGCTCCAGGAGTCACATGAGGACTCATGACCCCTGAGCCCAGATGGTCTTTCGTCTCACCGCAGACGGGACAAGCTCCTTGGGGCAAAGCAGCTTCACACTGCCTGACTCCAGGCAGCCCCACAGCAAGCACACCTCACTCTGCCTGAGAGCCATCCTCCTGAAAAGTTGAGTGGTTTGTGAATTCACAAATTCAATCCTTCTTTGTTCCTAATGATTACTGTCCTTTCGGGGGACATTTATCCTTGGCCTATATCCTCCAGATTGTATCCCCTTAAGTTGCAGGCTCGGCTAATATCTATTGAGTGTTCGTATCATGGTAAGTGGGATTACGTGTGAGTTATTTCATTTCATCCTCATAACAATCTTGGGATATGTTTCTATCCTCAGTCTGAAGACCATAACAATTGCCAGCATTTACATAGCACTGTGTCACAGACCTCATTCTCTGTGCTTTATGTCTATCAGCACCCCCTATCATCACTGCAGTCCTGTGGTGTAGATGTCAGTCATCTCCCATTCACTGAGACTCAGAGAGGTTGAGCAAGTGGCCCAGGTCACACAGCCAGCAAATCACAGAGGTTGGAATTCAAATCCAGGCAGGATGGTCCTCAAGGCTCCTGACCATTCTGATACACTGCCTCCTATTTTTCCCAGACCAAGTCCCACTTGTCATTTCAGCATCCATGGCTACCATTGTAAATCAATAGGGTGTGAGCCACACAAGGCCTGGCTCAGCCACATGAGGTGCTGAAGGACAGACCACACTGATTGATTTCTCGGCTGGGTCTTTAAATGTCAATGTGTGCGTGACCACCTCAGACCTTGGATACAGAAATAAAATGCAGAAGGAAAGGACATTCTAGTGCGTGAGATGAGAGGGAAGCAGGGCAGGAGAAAAGCAACAGCCTGGAGCACACGTGCACAGGCCAGTGGGCTCCCTGGGCTGGCAGGAGGGGCCCTGTGTAGGCAGTGGAGGTGGGAGTTGGGTGAGAGCCACACCCTTGACCTTGGACTGCTGTGAAGCTATTTATGGCCTGACACCAACCCCGGAGAGATGGGTCTTAACCTGATTTAGCTCCCCAATCTGTATTGATTGCCCACTGTTAAGCACTGCTCATTTGGGCCAGCCTGGCTGCCTGAGCACAGATCAACATCCCCAATGCAGCATGGCAGAGCAAAGGCAATGCCCTCCATCCCACCCTCCAGAATTCACCCAGACCCCCACTGCACAGCTCTCTGGGCCTGCCCTGTTCAGTCATTGACTGTTCTAGGAGCAGAGGGGACAGACGTACGTGACAGAGACAGAGCCTCCTGCCTACTCCAATGCAGCCTGGAAGGAAAGCCTGACAGGATAAGGAAACCAACAGAAACAGACTCAAGATGAACCTCAGATGTGTTAGGTGCAGTAAAGGAAGAAAATGAGGTGATGTGGGAGAACCTGTGAAGAGGGGACGAGGGAAAGGGGGAGGTAGCCCAGGAAAGCCTCTCCAAGGTGAGTTTGGAGCAGAATTCTGAATGACGGGGAAAAGGGAGCATTCTGAGAATTGAAGAAAGGAGCAAAGGCCGGGTGGCAAGAGCAGGCTCGGCCTTTCAGACATTGAGTACAGGGAGCAGCAGATGGTGGGTG